GAGTCTCCTGCCTCAGCCTCCCAAGTAGCTGGGACTACAGGTGCCCGCCACACGCCTGGCCATTTTTTTGGTTGCAGCCATCATTGTTGTTTGGCGGGCCCAGGCTGGGGATTCGAACCCACCACCTTAGGTGTACACGGCTAGCGCCTTAGCCGCTTGAGCCACAGGCGCCAAGCCAACAACTTCAACTCTTAGTCGAGTTCCTGGGCCACAAGAGAGCCATTCTCAGCTGGAGTCCCTGTTCACTGGGCACTGTCCTATGTAGGCACCCCTGTGGATAGATGCTCACTACTTTCCCTCCACAGCACCCTGGGCCACAGCAAGTCTCTCTTCCTGCACCTGCAGCCTCCCCCCACAGCTGCACCTGCTGTGTGTCCTGCATAAGCATCTATACAGCTTCAGCATGTGCAGCTGCAGTCAGCCACCAGCCCCAGGCCCCTTATCCTAGTGAGTCCCCACATGAAACAAGGCTGTCCCTGTCAGCTTTGAGGCCAGCCTGCAGCCATCAGAGTAACCACGGGGGCTTGCCACCGCTGCGTGTGCTGCATGTCCTGGGGCTGTTCACAGAGGGACGGGATAAAAGGACGTGCTGGGCAGTGGAGCATGCTCAGTGCCAGCTTGTGGAAGGCACACCCTGTGTTCTGCCCCAAGCTGGCCCTCTGTGAGAGCCCAGTGAGGACCTGAGAGCCAGGTGGTGGTGCTGTAAAGCATGAACCCCCCAGCCCTGTCAGCCCAGACCCAGGCCCCACAGGCGCAGTCTCGCTGGGAGAGTGAGAGGAAGAAGAACGTGCTGACCTGGCTTGTTCCTACTCCCTGGGATTGGCGGCTGTGGAGCAGGGCTCCCTCGAGGGGCCTGGTCTGGCCTCCTCCCCCTGTGGCAAGTCCCCGAGGGGTGCTGAGGGTGGGCACGCAGCCGGCTGATAGCCCGAGACACTGGCCCTAGGCCTGAGGACAGGGAACAAGGGCCCATTGTCTGGGCTTCCTCCCGCCGGGCACTGCGGGCCTCGGACCAGCCTGTCCAGCTCCCAGAGGGCAGCCTCCCCTGGCTGTGTGCCAGGCCACGGCCGGGGTGGGGGGTGAGAGGGGAAGGCCCGGTGGGCAGCTCAGTGATCCATGGTACACAGCTGTGCACACACACATACTTGGCTGCCCAAGCCCATCTCCCTGAGGCCCCAAGGGGGGCAGCAGGGACTCAGGCTCACCCTGACAGCACTGTCTGCCCACAGGACGATGATCTCTGGAAGTTCTCGGACAAGCAAGCTATGCCAGTAGCTCATCTACAACCTCACCCCTCATTCTAAGCAGCAGCGAGGGTCCAGCCTGCCCCAGAGGAGGACCCAGAGCTGGTAAGGGGAGCCTAGCCACAGCCCCTCCTCCCTGCCCTTCGGGGTCCCATCCCATGTTGACACTCTCTCCAAGATACCAGTGCCTGAAATGCTACACCAGGAGGCCCTCAGCCGTGTCAGCACAAAGGCTTCAGACCTAGAAGCGGGTATGGTCAGCATGGAGGTAGGTGCTTCCCAAGCCGGGCTGTGCTCTCCATGTGACCTCCTCCTACTTCCACGGGACAATTTTGCTTCCTGCATTCACAAATCCTTGGCCTGTCACAGGGTCTGGGCCCAGGGTGACCTCAGCAGGCATCCTCAGCTGAGTCTTTGCAGCAGGTGGGGAGGCAGGGAAATTCTGGGCACAGGGAAGGACAGGCTGCGAGAAGCAAAGTGCCTTGCCCAGGGCCACACCCCACTCTGATTTTCCTGCAGCCCTTGGGAATTCTTTGCCAATACCAGGCTGCCTGTAGCCAAGGCCTCTGTGTCCCTCTGATAGCTCACTCTGCTGTGGGCCTCTTGGTTACTCCATCCAAGAGTGACTCCATCCATGGAACCTCGCAGCACAGACCCATCCCAGAACTGGCCATCAGCACCTAGCTAGGAGCTGACCTGGCATGTCTACCCTGTCTGTCCAGGCTAAACCTGGAACCCACGGGTTGTTCTCTGCCATGGCAGGTGAGGGCTCCGGAACATACTCACTGCTTAGTCCCCCAAAAGGCTCAAACAACAGGAGAGAGACCTAGAGCAGGGTGCAGAGGGCAGTGGGGACCCTCCTCAGTCTCAAAACTTCCCTTCCAGCTGAGAACCAGGGAGTTTCTTCCCAGGGCAGGCCTCATGCCACACCATCTTCCCCCTTGCTGCCTGAAAGCCATGGGGACCAGCCTCATGCCCTGTCCCCTTATAGGAAAGTTTTTCCTTACACTAGAGGACTTGACTTCTAACAGGGCATACGGGGAAAAAAACTGTGAGTTCAGGAGTTTGGAGACTCGGCTCCTTCCTTCATAGAGGGTGGCCACGGAAGAGTTATTTCACCTCTCTGAGCATCAGTTTGCCCCTCTGTAGAATGAGATCATCATCCCTACACCCACCTGGGACTCTGCAGCTGCTCTGCTGGGCTGGTATAAAAATAAGTGGGATTAGGGCGGCGCCTGTGGCTCAAGGAGTAGGGCGCCGGCCCCATATGCCAGAGGTGGTGGGTTCAAACCCAGCCCTGGCCAAAAACTGCAAAAATAATATTAATAATAATAATAATAATGAGATTGGCTCGGAGCCTGTAGCTCAAGCGGCTAAGGTGCCAGCCGCATACACCGGAGCTGGTGGGTTCAAATCCAGCCCGGGCCTGCCAAAACAAGAATGACAACTACAACCAAAAAATAGCCAGGTGTCGTGGCGGGCACCTATAGTCCCAACTACTTGGGAGGCTGAGGCAAGAGAATCGCTTAAGCCCAGGAGTTGGGGTGGCTCCTGTGGCTCAAAGGAGTAGGGCACCGGCCCCATATGTCAGAGGTGGCGGGTTCAAACCCAGCCCCTGCCAAAAACTGCAAAAAAACAAAAAAAGCCCAGGAGTTGGAGGTTGCTGTGAGCTGTGATACCATGGTACTCTACCCAGGGTGGCAGCTTGAGGCTCTGTCTCAAAAATAAATAAATAAAAATAAGTGAGATAACAGCTATAACTGGTGTGGTGATGATGGGCACACAGTGACTTTTCATAGTAATAATAGTTCACAGGGCTCAGCACCTGTAGCTCAGCGGCTAGGGCACCAGCCACATACACCAGAGCTAGTGGGTTCGAACCCAGCCTGGGCCTGCCAAACGACAATGACAACTACAACCAAAAAATAGCCTGGCATTGTGGCGGGGGTGCCTATAGTCCCAGACACTTGGGAAGCTGAGGCGAGAGAATCACTTAAGCCCAAGAGTTAGAGGTTGCTGTGAGCTGTGATGCTACGGCACTCTACCCAGCGGGACATAGTGAGACTCTGTCTCAAAAAAAAAGAAAGAAAGAAATTGCCATCCTATTAAAAAATGAAAAAAAAATAGTTCACAGATCCTTAATATGTGTGTGACCCTCACGACAACAATATCCCCTTATTATCAAAGAGGAAACTGAGGCTCAGAGACGTTCTGAGCGTTGCCATGACCATGGACTCAGAGAGTGGCAGTGTGAATCTGGCTTTGCCAGACCATAGGCCCATAGGCCAGGGCTGCCCTGACAGATAGTTATCTGTGCCCAGCAGGGCCTGCCTGGGGGCCCTTGCTCAGTCCATGCCCCCTGCAACCTTTCCCTAGCCTCAAGAGCAGCCTGCAGAAGACTCTGCTGGCAGGAGAGACTGGACCTTTCAGGTATCCTGCTGTTGGCATGAGGTATGTATCATGTAATGTGTAGCCATGGCACTGGACTGGCGTTGCTGGACCTGAGCTTCACAGGGTTGAGTGATCAGCTGCTACGCCAGCTGCTGCCCAGCCTGTGGATGCTGCCCTGCCTCACCCGGCTCCTGCTCAACGGCAACTGACTGACACAGGCCACCACGTGTGAGCTCACTGAGGCCAAGGACACTGCCAAGTTCCCAGCGCTGGCCTGGGTAGACCTGGGCAACAACATGAATGTGGCCTCCCTGCCCCAGCCCCTGCTGGTTGGCTTGCTCCGGCGGCTCAGCCAGTGTACCCCACTCCCCACCATCTACAAGGGCCTGGATCTCGACCCTGCGGGTGGCACGGCTAAGGACACAGCCCCTGCCTCCACCTGGGGTTCTGCAGCTGCCAGGCTAGGACCCAAGCCCCAGGCCTGCTGCATCAGGTAACCCACCACCCACTGGGGTCACCACTGCTGACACACAGTGCTTTCAAGTTCATGGGACAATGGGACAGCTGGTGATGGAAGCCCAGGGGACCCACTGTTCCCTAGAGGTCCAGCATAGGAGCTCAGCATAGGATTAGAAGGACAGAAGGAAAATGGGCTCATAGGATACTGGGTGGTCAAGCCAGGCTGGAGTCTCAGACTTCACTTAGCACAAGGGGCTCTGGCACCTGAAGTGGACCCTACAATACAGGGTGATGCCCCATCTCAGCCTTTCTGCAGTGGCCTTAGGGTTGCTGAGCTATTTGGGTAGGGACAAGGGGCAGGTACCCCACAGAGAACAAGGTGTGGGGATCCTGGTGAGGGACTGGGAAGAGTCCTTCAGGGACCAAGTCCTCACATCTAGGCAGGGCTTGGGCTCCTTAAAAAGGGAAGCCAGTGGAGAGCCTGTTGGGAGCCCAGGGTGAGACAAAGCTCTGGAGAGAGCCCCACAAAGAGCTCAGGTTGGAGTCCAGGCCACCAACCCACACCCTGCCGCCAGGGTCCCTTGGACTGTGGACAATGATGTGTAGACTGGCAACAAGGGCCACAGCAGCCTTGAGTGGGAGGACTGGGTACTCATCTCCCACAGGGCACACACCGTACTGCATGGTGCCCCCGGGAGCCAGCCCCCAGGCCTCCTGCACTCAGTCAGCAGATGGCCCTAGACAGCCCTGCAAGATTAGGAGATGTACCAGCCAGAGACAAAGAGCTTGTATATTCCCCTCAGGCCCTTGGGGTCCCCTGTAGGAGGACCTGCAGGGGGGGAGGTGGGCACAGCCAGCAGCAGGGGGCCTGGGGCAGAGCAGTTCCAGGTAGGGAAGGCTCTCCCTCCCCAAGTACCATGAGAGTGGGCTCCCATCCAGAAGAACAATACCAGGGTCACCCTCACAGTCCTGTGAAGGGGAGTTGGAGTTCATCCCAGCTGAGGGATAGGAGAGGCAAGAACGGAATAAAGAGCTATGGGGGAAACTGAGGCATGAAGAGGGGAAGCCACTGCCAAGGCAGGGTAGGGCTTGGCAAGGAAAGACTCCAAAGCCAAAAAGAAGCCAGGAGCCTCCCTGGGCCCACCAGCACCAACCTTCCCTGACAGGTGGGGCCCACAGTGGGCTGTGAGGGGCACACCCATCCCTATGGGGCACAGATTCCAGCACATCCAGGCCAGCAGATGAATAACTTGGACCAGAAGGGAGATGACCTAAGAGGTCTGAGGATGGGAGTCGGTGAGGAAAGGAGTTTCCTTAGAGCCCCTGATCTCATGTATTTAGGTGGACTCCTTACCTTTAGGCTGTGGAAACAGTGCGAAGATCCCTTCCAACAAATCTCAAGAAGAAAAGAAAAGAAAGAATGAAAGAAAAAAAAAGTGCTAAGAGCACACAGTTCTGCCTGGCTCTGGTCCTGACTCCTGTGGGACCTGGTCAGGCCCCTCCCTCTCCCGGTCACTCCTTTCTCCCCTGTTAAATAAGGCCTGCTGCTCTCGGTGCTCCATCTTGGGGGCCTGGTCCCCTCCCAGCTCTCCTTCTTTCAAAGACAAGGGCATGCCCAGCGCGTTTCCCTGTGCCCCCATGCTGGAATGGAGTTCAAGCTACCCAGAGCAAGGCAAAGCCAGGTGGAAAGTAGGAGGCCCCGGCAGAGAGTCACTGGTGAGGAGAGTGGCCTTGGGCCAAGCAGTCTAATAAACATGTCACACGCAGGCAACTGAGTTCTCCCTGCACGTCCTGTTGGAGAAATGCCAAACTGTGGTTCCTCCTGCCCGCCTCACTCCCTGCCCACCTCTGCTGGCCAGAAGCCAGCATGTTCACCCTCTAATGGCACTGTCCAGAGATTCCTACCAGGATGATGTGTGAGGACCCAAGCTGGAGTCCCAGGCGAGCTCTGGAAAAGTCCAGGCGGCAGTAGATGGTCTCAATCTTTCCACCTCTTGGGCAGAGGCATGCGGCACAATAGCCAAGCTGGAGCCTTAAACAGCTAAAGAGAAGAGGGGAAGCTCGGCATCACTGCTTTGCAGGTGTCCATAGCTCTTCCAGGGGGACTGTCAACTTCGGGTCTCAGGACCACCAGCAAGACCTTCTATAGGCCTTGACATTGAGGTCCAAAAAACAGCGTTTTATGCCTCCCACAGCCTAGTAGGGCAGTGAGCACCAGCCTGGACAACTCCAGCCAGAGCTCCAGACAGAGGAGGAGGAAGCAGGTGGGCCACGCCTAGGCACGTCCTCCTCCAGGCCCAATCTTAGAGGCAGACAGCCTGGCCTTGGTCCCAGCTCCGTCACTTGCTGGCACTGTGGTCCTCTCAGGGCCTCTTTCATCCTCTTGGGAATTGAGGTACACCAAGACCCCCCTTGTCTCGCATGAGTGATGACATGAGTTTTGGAAAGTGCCTGCCGTGGTGGGGGTTGAGTGCAGGCGCTCTTCAACATCAGCAGGGCCTCCATCCAGGGCTCTCTGAGTGGCAATGCCCGGAGCCTAAACTTTTGGGACTAGGCCTGGGCTGAAGCCATTTATTTATTTATTTTAAAGACAGAGTCTCACTTTATTGCCCTTGGGAGAGTGCAGAGGCATCACAGCTCACAGCAACCTCCAACTCCTGGGTTTAGGCAATTCTCTTGCTTCAGCCTCCCAAGTAGTTGGGACTATAGGCACCCGCCACAACACCCAGCTATTTTTTGTTGCAGTTTGTCCAGGGCTGCGTTCGAACCCACCACTCTCTGTATATGGAGCCAGCACCCTGCCCACTGAGCCATAGGCGCCACCCAGCCTTTTATTTATTTAGCAGGCACTTTTAACCTCTTTCCTGGCTAGGTACTGTTCTGATGGCTTTACCTCTGTTTTCTAAGTGAGTCAGTCAAGGCAGGAAGAGGCTAAGTGACTCATCCAAGGTCAAAGAGTTAGGAAGGGGAGGAGCCGGGCTGAGCCCCTGTGGCCCAGCATCAGTCTGTGACATCTGTGACATTTTTTTTTTTTTTTTTTTTGAGACAGAGCCTCAAGCTATCCCCCTGGGTAGAGTGCCGTGGCATTACAGCTCACAGCAACCTCCAACTCCTGGGCTCAAGCGAGTCTCCTGCCTCCGCCTCCCAAGTAGCTGGGACCACAGGCGCCCGCCACAACGCCCGGCTATTTTTTTTGGTTGCAGCCGTCATTGTTGTTTGGCGGGTCCGGGCTGGGGATTCAAACCCGCCACCTTAGGTGTACGTGGCTGGCGCCTTAGCTGGTTGAGCTATAGGCGCCGAGCCCAGTCTGTGACATTAATCCCTCTCCTACAGCCATTCCAGGGGCTGTCACTGGGGCTTGGTGTGCCCCAGGATTTACCTAAACAGACAAGCCCCTTCCAAAGAGGCCACTGGAGGTCTGGAGGAGCACTGTGGTCCTGTTGTGGGGAACAGACCTCCAGCAACACTGTTGTTCCTGGATTAAGACCAGTCAGGACACCCACCCTACCCTAGGCCTCACATGCAGATAGGTGGGGAGGAGAACAGGGACAATCCAGGCTCTGCCTCCTCCAGGATTGTAGGTGGGTTGGGAAGTGCTTCCCAGCCTACACAAACCCAGGCAGTGCCTGCATAGAGACGCAGGATCCACACCCACTTCCCAGTCTCCTTCCTGGGGCTTGGCCTCCTCACGCCTAAGCCTTCCTCATGGGGATGCTGAGAAGAACGAAAGGAAACACAAGAGATGCCGTGCTCCACAGGACCAATGTGACCAACAGTCAAGAACTTTTCTGTCCTGGTGTCACCAGCCACTGTTGACCTGAGCGGCCATTTCCTGCAGGGCGCTGCTGGTCAGGCCCTAACAAGGTGGGAGGAGCCTATGTAAGGGCATCTGGAGATTGTTTATTCACGTCCAAGGCCTACTGTCATAGATAAGTTGGGGAACTGGACTCCACCGTTCCGGGCAAGGACCCAGGGCACTCTGTGCACCCAGTGAAGTGTTGACTAGCTATAAATTCAGTCCACAGTGAAAATGCTTTGAAGATAGAACCACTTGAAGATAGGCAGATATTGTGTACCCTTGTAACCTATGAGGGGGACTCTGTTTAATATGTACTATGATGAGCATTGCCGATGTTTACTTTTACTGTGAACATAAGAGATAAAGGGAAAGAGGGGGGCAGAGCAGTTCTTTGGGGAGATATCCCTGCTGCTCCCAGAATTGCTGGATTTTCTGTAAATAAAAGTGAAACTGTTGATCTCTCTTCTGCTTCTCCATGACTGGCTTGGGTGACAGAGGGATGGACTCCTTGGTCTGGCAACACTGGAAGGGAGGATGTTTGAGCCCATATAAGGTGCTTTAGCATGAGTCTGCAGGAAAGGTCAGCCTTTACAGAGTCTCCATTTTGAGACTCCTGAATATCAGGCAACTGATTCTAGTTGCTGGTATCACCCCAGTGCAGAGGTTTTTTTCTCGACCTGGAGAGAAGAGAGAACATACTTCTTGTTTTTTCATTTTATTTATTTTTATTTTTATTTTTTTTGAGACAGAGCCTCAAGCTGTCACCCTGGGTAGAGTGTTGTGGCTCACAACAACCTCCAACTCCTGGGCTCAAGCAATTCTCCTGCCTCCCTAGTAGCTGAGTAGCTGGGATTACAGGCACCCGCCACAATGCCCGGCTATTTTTTGGTTGCAGCCGTCATTGTTGTTTGGCGGGCCCGGGCTGGATTCGAACCCGCCA